TAGTGTGGGGGGGGGGGGGGAGCCTATCCCAACTGACTTTGGGTGGAAGACAGACGACATCCTGAACTCATTGCCATTCAGTCGCAGGGCACAAATAGAAACGAACAACTACAGTATTCACACCCACATCAGCACCATCACTCAGTGGGAACCAATCCCATGCTGCTCACAAACAAGTCAGGCGAGGGCACCACTCCATCAGACTTGTCAAACTCATTTTTGTCGCCACTTTGAAGTTACATTTTGCCTCGGAGGGCAAATTAATGGGTTACAGGTTTTTAAATCAGTCAACTATTACAATTTGTCAATTATTGTTCAAATGAGTGTAAACATGGGAACAAAATTATTATCTCAAGGTTACTCACCACACATGAAAATTTCACATTTCAGTCCAGATTTTAACAAGGATCATGCAAGTTGACACATGATTTTTTTTTCGGCGGGGCCACATAAAATGCTGTGGCAAGCCGGATCTTTGACACCTGTGCACGACACCATCAGCGACTCAACAAGATTATTCAAATGAAAAATAACATATGAAACAGAGGGCACATCTTTCTGTAAAAATCTTCGTTCATGATAGGTATTGTTATGTTTAGGAGAAAAATGTCACAACTTCTCCCGATTTCAGTTTTTGTTGGATCAGTGGGGAATAAATCAAGGCTCAAGTTGTGATCAGATAAACTTTTAAAAAGAGTGCTGTAAAAAGTATTTGCCACCTTCCTGATTCTGTTTTCTTTGCATATTTATAACACACAAAGGTTTCAGTTCATCAAACCAATTTTAATATCACACAGAGATTACCCAAGAAAATACAAAATGCAGTTTCTAAATTCCAATTTAATTTATGAAAGCACCAAAAAAAATCCCAAACTACCTCACCCTACATGAAAAAGTAATTGCTCCACCCCATTGTTAAATCACAAAGTAACTGTTATAAATGACAATTTTGGGAAAGCTGAGTTCAATTTCACAGGCAATACCCTGGCACCACATTTGTTGAGTCAAGAAATCACATAAATAGATTCAGTCAGACAAAGTGAAGTAGGCTACAAGATCTCAAGAAACAAATGCAGAATGCCACAATACAAAAGAAATTCAAGAAAAAAATGGAAAAAAAAATTTGAAATCTATCGGCCTGGAAAAGGTTACAAACCCATTTCCAAGACCCTGGGGCTCCAACGAACCACTGTCAGAGCCATTATCCACAAATGGATAAAACTGGGAACAGCGGCAAACACGAAGTTGCAAAAGAAGCTAGAACAACGTTAAAAGAACCCAGACCTCACTGGTCTCAGTTTAGGTCAGTGTTCATGACTCTACCACAAGGAAGACACTGGCGAAAAAAGGCATCCATGGCAGATTTCCCAGATGAAAACCACTGCTGTCCAAAAAAAACACAAAGGGTTGTCTCGCTGTGTTTTTTTTTTTTTTCATGACAACATTAACAAATGCAAAACAACCCACAGTTGTTTTGAATGTTGAGGTATGATCATGATGTGAAATGCTGAACCTCCCATCCCTCCCATAGGATATATTGTCAATAATAATAATTATGAAGGTGCGTGTGTGTGTGTGTGTGTGCGTGTGTGTGTGTCCACGAGGAGTCCATGTTACATTTCTGATATTTTCGTAGTGTTGGCTTTGTAAAACGAAAAGCCGCCCGGCCACATCATAAATACAGTACTTGTATTATGTCCAAAAAAAAAAAACCTTCATGTGAGTGTGACTTTTTGTATTAAATTTCCAAAAAAAAAAACCACAAAGGGTTGTCTCGCCCCCTCCGTGAGCCGTCACCTTACCGTGGTGAAGGGGTTTGTGTGTCCCAATGATCCTAGGAGCTAAGTTGTCCGGGGCTTTATGCCCCTGGCAGGGTCACCCATGGCAAACAGGTTCTAGGTGAGGGACCAGACAAAGCACGGCTCAAAGACCCCTTATGACAAGTACAATGAATGGATCGAAGTTTCCCTTGCCCGGACGCGGGTCACCGGGGCCCCCCTCTGGAGCCAGGCCTGGAGGCGGGGCTCGTTGGCGAGCGCCTGGTGGCCGGGCCTACACCCATGGGGCCCGGCCGGGCTCAGCCCGAAGAGGCAACGTGGGTCCCCCTTCTCAT